ATATTTGTACAATACTTAAACATTCACTGATACAAAAGCCGTAATTTTTAGGTGCTCCACGTTCCTTGCTGGATGCCCTTCTCAACACGCTGTATTTGTTCTTGCTGGTACAAAGACTCCTCAGTGTATTAGAGAAGATGGAAAGAACCATTCTAGTATTTCTGATCATTTCCTTCTCCTACTTATTTTAGCTGAAACTAAACTATACAACACAGATGAACGCTGTTTTGAAAGACAGCTTGTTTGTCTCCTTTTTGGAGGTACCAAAACCTTGCTTGTGCTAGTTCTGCTGGTATTAGGACCTGTTATTCTGATTATGTGAAAATATTTTACCCAACTGGAAAGGCTCTGTAATGCTTCTCAAAGTTTGTCAGATTCTGAATCTCTCCAATACCCTTCACTGCAAGTATCTTCCCCTAAAATACTGCAGATTCATTTCAGGCTTTGCAATCTGCTTTATCCCAGAGGACTGTAATTATTTTTGGCACTGAGGGAAATGTATTTTGGACTGCAGCTACTTTGAAGATTCAGACAGTTTCTAAACCAACAAAGAGGTGGGCTGTGAGCTGAGGGAGGAATGGGAACACAGGCCAATATAACTGTAATAACTGGGTTAAAGCGATGGGGAGCTATGAAGGCCGCTATTTCTCTCTAGTGGGAAGCTTCGTGTTATAATTTCACTCTTCTTCAGATACTGTGAGCTGCCATCCTCCACTCTGGGGATGACAAATGCCTGGACCACCTCAGCAGGAGATCCTTTTCTGTTGAACAACATATGCCAACTTTTACATGGGAGAACTCAGAAAATTTTTTACCCTTTCACTGATCTGTTTGCTCATTCTGAAAGCACAAATAACTTCACACTGCAGCTGGAAGATCAGTAAGTGGGAGGAGAGGGTATGGACTCTAGTGGGGAAGAGTATTAAATACTGGCTAATTGTTATTGCCTGACTGTTTTTTATAAACAAGTTGCTTAATGTTGAGCCTCATTATTCTCAGGCGTAAAGCCTGATGCCATGGCAATACAAAACAACATTTTGTTAAACAATTGGAAAAATTTGCCTAAGAGGGGGGAAGATAACTCAGTTCTTTCACAGATTTGTTGTGTCCTCCTGACCACATTAGAGAGGATTCATTCATTCTTAGTTAAATCCTTTAGAATGAAAAGAAATGGCTAAGTGGTGAACAGAACGGATGCAAAATGTAATAAGGGCTTTTAATGATTGTTTGCCAGTCAAAGGAGAAAGTTTATTGCCTGCTAAGGTTATCATTCTTTTCAAAAATTTGATTTCATTCAGCACTCATGGCTCAATCCTGACCTCTGCTCAAAACAAGTAAACAGTTGAACAAAATGCGCACCACTTTCTTGGAAAAGGACCAAGAAGCAAGCTCAGCTTTTAAACATGGTGCACTGTAACATTTTGCAGACTTCTGGATTCTAAGTGCCTTCCTTACAAAATGAAGATTAATCATAGCCCAGATCTGCATCTCTTACCCATATCGTTAAAGGCTTACCCAGCTCTTTCTTGGCTTGCTGGTGGAGAGGCATGTTAAATTACACATGCAATCTACCAGCCTTTTTCACTTTGTTTTCCATTTCCTTACCTATCATGTTGTTTTTTCCCTCCGGTAAACACTTTTGTATCTGTATGGAGCACAACCCAACCTTACCCATGGTTACTGATTTAGCTATTAATAAGATCATTCCAGAAGGTGAAGCAGTGTAGTCACACTCGCGAAGAGCTCCACCCACACAATAGAGCCCTGCTGAGAAGGCTAACTGTGTTAGCACCGCATCGTGACTAGTAGCTTCCTTCTCTATTCTAGATTTTAAAGGAACACTTGTCCCTTGGCCACCGTCACATGACTTTAGTGAGAGCAATGTTCCAGTGAGACAGCAAAGCATATGCTAGTGTTTCTCTGTCTCCTTCTTTCATAGAATCATGGGATCACAGAAGGCTTTCTCAAAGGCATGAGACTGCACTGAAACAACACAGACTGCATCAGGATGGATCAGGGTGGTGGAGCTTTAAAGGAAGAACAATGAAAGACATTATCCTCAGTTTGATCCTGAAGATCATACTCTTTTTAGGGATACAGTATCCTTTTTGTTAAGCTCCACCAGGTACAGAAGACAGGTGTGGACAAAAGGGAAGTTCTTAATGCTTTGCTGCTATGGGACAGAGAGTTTTCCAACAGGAGCTGGAGCTCATATGAAGGTTCAAGGCTTTTCAGTGATGGCAATGATCTGCTAAACAGCCTGAACAATTCTCCTAGCTGAAGACACAAAACCCTGAAACTTTCTTCATGATGTGGAAGAGCTTCTCAGCTTCTCCGTAGACTGGTGCGGAGAAATATCACAGTCCCTTCCCCATATTTAACAGTGGAGATCAGAGACTGCAGTAATAGTATTTACATTATGCTTTAAAAACCAGTCTTAAGTATGATTTTGCAGACTCTACCTGCTAATGCATAATGCAATCCAGCCACCTCTGGCAACTCTGCACAGCCATTCCAGCCTGGGAGTGCAGTGCCTTGATGCTGAGAACTGATGTCTGGTTAAATTGCAACGGATATCAGCTAAGGCACTGTAGGTTATATCTTTACTTTCACAGAACAGAGTACTAGAGTCTTAATTGTTTAAAAATTAAGCCTTCAAAGTTTTTGCCATGTATAATCTTTTTGATCATAAAAAGGTTATATAAATAGATCAGTGAGATTTGTAGGGCCCAAACCAAAATAGATCCAAATCAGGAATTTTCCCAACAACTGCAATAGGCTTTGGATCAGGTTCATAACCCTCTACAGGGTTTCTGACAAACTAAACGGTCTTTCTGTGGAACAGCATTAGTATTCGTTTCTGATTCATCTGAAAGGTAAAAATCACATATTCCTATTCAACTCTGAGTCAGATACAGATGACTATACTCATGTATTTAATTCCAGTAAAGGTTCCAAGCTTAAGTTATATTAAAAAACAGGTTCTGCTAAAGTATGGTTTTACAGAGAAGGAAGGAGTCATATGTGAATGGTTGCTGTCTTTCTCCCCCATTAATACTAGATGATGTCTCACATGCATTCCTGGTCCCTAAGCAGAGTCCTGGGGCTCTGCAGTCATTTAGATCTGGGCTGCACTGGACCTTCTCTTTAAGCTGACTTCAAAGAATATGTGACATACAACCCCTGAGCTTTCTTCTGTGAGTCTAACCTGAAGTCTGTCTCTGGATCTCTGACCATAAATGCGTTAGAATTTAAACTTATTCTCATACTTCTTCACGAAGGCATGTTCTGGTTGAATACTCCCACATATTAATTAAATAATAACTGTTTAGCTCTATGAGAACTATTCCTTAAAAGTGCCAATTTCAATCAACTTCCTTGATTAGTCTATTTTTCTGAGGGGCCATATATGCCTGTATATCTGAGGGGACAACTGCAAGCTGTAGAGTAATGAGCTCATTTTATCAGAAAATGGGTTTTAAAATTATATTTTGCACCAGAGTTTCAGGCTTTTCAGGTTACTGAACACAGCAATGGAAACCTAAGAGAATACACTTTTAGCATAAAGCCACTTAAAGTTGTGTGCTTGGACTATTCAGAGAAAAATCTCACATAATAACTATTTCCTGAGGGATTTGTTAATTAGTTTGCTATATGATGGATTTAGACAGCTAAGAGGTAAAATCTGACTTCAGTCCACTTGTCATGTGACCACACATATCTTACCAGTTGGCGTTTTCACAGAGATCAAAAAGTGGCTTATTATATACTGTATTTAGAAACCGTAGGCTAAGCTGATCTTTTCTCAAGGTAC